ATTCGATCTGAACTGAACCGAACCGATCTGGAGTGGGGCAAGGTGGACTCACCTAGGTTGGATATGAATCAAAGATTGGGCTGAACTGAACAGGTGGGTTGGACTAGAAGACTTGAACTACTAGAACATGGTTGTGGCCAAATTAGAGATTGGGCTGCACAACATATGTTCTTGGGTTGTATCAATTGTGCTGAACCCCTGACCCAGTTATATGTTATAACCTGAAGGGGCGATCCAGACAAGAATGGGGCTCGTCTTCTTCAACATCAGCTGCAGCTAAGAAACCCTAGCTCCCAGCAACGCAATTGACCGGGGCCATAGGGCTACTCTAGGAACGACAGCAACACAAAATAAAAGCACCAAGGACAACCACAAAACTAATCAACAGAGCATTCGGCGACAAAGCCACTACAAAACAAATTCAAGGTACAATCAATCATCAAACACCCGATTCGATTATCAAACACTCAATTCGATTATCAGCACCACAACTCCAACACTTGAATAGAAAAGAACGACGGCAACAACCTAAACCAACACTAATCGACGACGATGTCCAACCACCACCCACGACCACTAGTTGCGCATAAGATGGCATAAACCATGGTGCCATGATCATGGGTTGCACCAATAATAGAATAGAAGGAAACATAAGAGAAAAAGAAAAGGGAAGGATGAAAACAAGGCTAGGGCTCAAAGATTCAGTACCAAAAACATATTCCAAATCAAATTTGGATTCACATGCTCTAATATCATGTTAAGTTTAGAGAATGAAGAGAAAACAATTATGAGAGGCAGAGAGTAGTTTATTATGCCCTACCTCTCATTCTGAACTTATATTTATAGTTAATTAAGAAAACATAAAAGACTAGTATATCTTTAAAGAGGTATACTTATTACAACCATTTAAAATATTAACAATATAATAGTAATACTCTCAACAAAACACGTGCACACACGCTCATAAGAACTACAATGATGAAGCTGACATCATCAAGATAAGGATAAAGAGAGAGTAGAATGGAAAATATAAAAAACAAAAGGGTTCTTGCGAGTTACGACTGCAATATGATGTGGGCAAAGTAGTAAAATTGAGACAAGGAAAATGAGAAAGTAGAATGGGAAATATACAAAACAAATGGGTGGGTTCTTGTGAGTTGTGGGTAAAGTAGTAAAAATTGTGTTCTATCTCTGCATGCAAATAAAAAATAAAAAAAGAAGAAAGCAAAGTAATCAAAAGATCAAAACACCAAAAGGAGGTCTTAAACCCAAAAATATCATATGCCATTGGAATCCATATCTGACTTCAAAGAACTGAAGGCCTTGAACCTCACCTCCCAACTACAAAAGGAGGTTAGGTAAACAAAAGTTGCATGCATAACATGGTACAGATGTCGCAAAATTCAAATGAATTAGAAGATAGAACAACTTCAACTTTATGTGGAACAACTTAAAAACCCTACTTGTTTTTAGATCACTTAGTGCACAGTTCATTGCAATCCACAAATATGACAAACAGTAGATAAAGTTGTTAAGATAAAACCTACTTTCAATTGACTACCCCTCAAAAATCCATTAAGAGAGTCATAAAAAAATGCAAGAAGAAAACGATAGTGTAAATATGAAGATTAAATAAACCCATGATCTGTTTCCACTGGCAAAAGTATCAGACCTTGACAAGAACATGACATGTCTAGCACAACAATTCTCCAAAATCTAGAAATGAGGACCCTACAATGATTTTTTCCCATATGAACTGTATATATATAGGACACGCCAGTTTTCCAAAAGCAGTGTGCAGAGTCTATACACAACAAAGCAAACTAATGTAGGATGGGAAGAAGAAAATATCAAAGAATGGAAAAAGGAAAAGAAAGAAAGAGGGGTCATAAAAAACAATTTTATTAACATCACGCTCTCTACCACGAAATATTAGGGATTACATCCATATTTATAGGCTACATCCCTATAAAAAAAAAAATTACTCTCCTACTAAAATTTTAAGAGTTTCATAATCAAACTCTCAAATTACTATCCTACTAAAACACCATAATAATTTTTAATCATATTCTAAAGTAGTTTCCTAATGAAACTCTCACATTGAAATTACTAAAACAATCCTAATCACAAAAATATTTTCCAATTAATATAATTATACAAAAATAAAAAATAAATTCAAATTCTTCAATTCAAGCTTATTCAGTCCCCTTTCGATCAGTATCAATTCTTCCCGATTAAAAAAAAGATTCTTCTCCGAAAATTTGTAAGGCCAGAATACTCTAAGACATCTAAATAAGTTTGTGTTCCAAGAAAATAGTATTATAGATCTCCATAGTACAAAACAATCCCTTGACGCGTTTTATCCTTCACAGTCTTGTCCACATATAGGGATTGGCAGTGGACTGAAAAAAAAAGGGACATTTGTCTAAACTCACTTCGTTTGGAGTAAGGATGGACTATACGTATTGGACGGTAGACGTATATAACGATACATGTATAAACCAAGCGGAAATGGACTGACACTTACCCTGCCCCACCCATTGGTTTATATATATATATATATATATTGAAAGTAAACCACATTTAAAAGTTGTATATAAATATATAAAAGTAAAAGGATGAATTCATAAAAAAAAATAAAAAAAAAAGAGAAAAGAGGAGGGGGCAACAATGCAAAATTTAAGCCTACATCTATTATTGTTTTTCCGGTCACTCTTTAGTTTCTTCTCCATCTCCCTCTCTCTCTCACTGTCACACACACAATCTACGAAGACAAAAAACCCCTTAGAGCAACAATAGCACAGCAACCCCTTCGTCTTTCTCTCACAGGAGACGACAACAACTACTTTGTCTCTCTCTTAGCACAGCAGTCCCTCGATTGAAGCTCGGACCTCAAGTTTTACATCTTAAATCTTAGATTTATACCTCACCTACATTCAGACAATGTATATATATATATACACACTATGGGTGTGACTTGTCTTCTCAATTATATATATGTTTCTACTCAGTTATATATATGCACTATGTATGTGACTTGCCTGCTCAATTATACACACACACACACACGTATATATATATATATATATATCACACATGCACAGACATATATATATATATGGTGTATACATATATTGTGAATATTTGATAAATTTTTTTATTTTTTAGAGATGATTGAGTTGGTAATTTTTCAATGGAAATAGATTCAATATAAATTTTTGATTTTGTTATTGATAGGTGGTGGAGGTAGAGGCGGGAGCGAGGATTAAAATTTACCCCGCTAAGGGTTGGACGGCGGGTACAAGGGTGGAGACTACTCCCCCTTCCCGCCCCCACTCAGGTCCACTATCATCCGTATCCACATACACTAATTTAGGCAAAGAAAGCATATAAACCGGTGAATACAAAATAACAACTCCATCTGTAGAGACAACCTTCAAAACTTGATTCTTAATAACGATTGATATAGGATGAGGTGGAAAACTTTTACCCTCATCAATGTTGGACAATTTTTGCCATCATTCAATTGAACTGGAGCTTGTGGTTGTGGCGAAACTTGCAGTGGCAAAGCTTGTTCAATCACTTGTTGATGTTAGATCACGGTTGGCAGGGTTGCTTTATTTAGGTCAGACTTGGTTTTGGGTTAGACTGGGCATTGGGTAATATTTGTTTGGACTGGTTCTTGTTGAGTAGCGGGTCAAGATCTTAAGGAAATCAAGTCAGGTTGAAAGTTTAAAAACCCATGCCTGGGTCTTCTTCATGATGGAAATTTGTGAAGCCCTAGCCACTTGGATTTGAGACTCAACAGGGCCCCTACCAGTGCCCACAATCAGCGGCAAAGAAAGAATACAACAATGGAACAAAAAGATTGTATTCCTAGTGAAGGCCTACAACTGGTTTGAAACTCTTTGGCGCAATTTCTGCTTCACAATCCACCTTTTTGTAGCATCCACCAAGCAATCTGTCACTAGAATGCAAGTAAAATATATGGTGGTTGTCCTCCACGATCTTTTTTTTCCCTAAGCGGTTGCAAGTTCCTGAAGGGTGCTATGCCAAGGGGAAAACAAGGGGCTATTTCTGCTTCGATCAGGGAGGGAGGATAACTGTGAAGAGGACAGGATATATATTAGGGCTTGATTTGGGTTTTGTGGGTTTACAGTGGGACAATGACGAGTGGACAGAGGGTTTCAAGAGGAGAGGATATATTAACAGTAGGATGATTTGTTTTGGTTTGGGTAGGTTGTGTGATTGGGTAGCAATCTTGTCTTTATGTGGCAGTGGAAGATGAACAATGGTGACTCTAATTGTAGATTGAAATTGGGCTCTGATATCAAATTGATATAGGACCAGCAAAAGAAGAAAACAGAATAGAAAAATGAGAAGAAAGAAGAAGGGGTGGAAGGGACTAATCTCATCCTCGCAAGGAATTGTTAATAGGCTAAGTCCCCTACCAAAACAAAAATTACTTTTCTACTAAAATTCTAATAGATTTTCATAATCAAACTCTCAAATTACTGTCCTACTAAAACAATAAAATAATTCCCTAATCAAATTCTAAAATAGTTTCCGAATGAAACTCTCACATTTAAATTACTAAAACAATCCTAATCAAACAAATATTCCATAATTAATATAATAATGCTTAAATAAATAATAAATTCAAAATCTTCACTTCAAGCTTATTCAATTCCCTTTTGATCTCTATCACAAACTCTACAATATACGATGCAGCAGACAAACAGAAGCAGTAGATACTTGTTTTCAGCACATTGTTTAAGCACATAGAGACAGTCCCCAAGACAAGTGTAAACATTGAATCACGAACAAAGGTTTCACATCCCATAGAGTCAACCATACGAATCATGGAGAGGGACAAGCACCTAGACATCATGGTTTTCAGATGCTACAATCGGTCTTTATGTGAATTCTGGGGAGTTCAAGCTTTTATTTACCTGAAGATATGAGCATATAAAATTACATCTCACTACTTCACAATTAGATTAGACTCGTGCAGCATTTACGTTCGTTGATACAAAGTCGATATATTCCATCTTTGAGATCACCTCAACGGCAAGATCCAACGAAATGGCTAAAGGAACTGCCTACTAGTTTAACAAAAGAATTAGAAATTTAGTGACTTGCTGGGGACTCGATCATCATGCCTGCATCCCTGATTGATGCCTATGGAAATTCACTTTGATGTTTGCCCTCCTTTCATTGCAAGTTTGTTTACTGGATAGATGCAATGAACTAGTTCAGATTTAAGCCAGCGTGGTAAGCGAGTTGCAATGTCTTTGGTTATGTCATGCGATGGGGCACTGATCAGCAATATAAAGTTTTACTGAGTTCACCGTATTGTTTTTTTTCCCGAGCAAAACTTTTAGTGCTTGTTTATATTTTTTAATTTCTGGCAGACATGAGCTTAAGGGTGTTATTTGTTTTCTTTTTTCTGCTTGTTTATATTTTTTGGATTTCTGGCAGACATGAGCTTAAAGGGTGTTATTTGTTTGCTTTTTTTTGCTTGTTTTTAATTTTTTGGATTTCTGGCAGACATGAGCTTAAAGGGTGTTATTTGTTTGCCTTTTCTCTCTTCATTTGCACTATGTACACGGACAGTTAGTATATTGCTCCTTATCATTCATTCTTTTTCAAGAAAAAAAATACAAAAGGATCAGATTTGAAACTGCTCAAGGCCTGTCCTGCAAGATTAACTTTTGAAATGTACTAAATCCATGAGGCACAACCATCATGCCTTTAAATTAGACTTGAGTTCAAAGTTTGTACTCCATTCACTTGACAAATACTTGACGGCTTGTGTTAAGAATTTCCTCTCCGAGTTGTCTATTATACCACCAGTTCTTAACTAGTTATGAGTGATTTTGACAACAGTGAGTGTGAGTGTGTGCGTGTGTGAGAGAGAGATAGAGAGGGCATGCATGCACACAGGGAATATGTACCTCAGCTGAACCATCAAGCTGTTTCCTCACTGATTTCTGCAGAGCGGATTTCCCTACTCCAATCTTCTGACTCCCATTAGCTTGTTCATCGTCCAGTTTAATAGATGTCTTCTGAGACTCGTTTTTATTAAGTTGGCCATTTTCCCTTTTACTTTTTCCATCAGGATGCCCATCACCACCTGGGAGTGCATCCAACTTCATAGGTTGATCAGTGCTGTTGGCTTCTTCCAAGCCTTCAATCTTTCTGTGTTTGGATTCCACAATTCCTACTTTCTCACAAGGCTGATTAGCATTTTCCTCGGCAACCAATCTTTTTCTTTTCTTGTTATCTTTTTCATCATTGTAAGTTGCATTCTTTGAAGTCCCAAACGATTCCTTTTTAGAATCAGTTGTCTTTAGCTTTTCTATATCAAAATATTCCACAACCTCATCTGGTACCTTCTCAGAGACTGATTCCTCTTTGTTTCTCTTCTCACCTTTGGATTGGACCTTTTTCTCTTCCAGCATTACACCACACGACACAGAATCAGCAACAAGTTTATCTGAGACAAACCCATTCTGATCCTCCAAGCGGCATTGCTCACCATTTTCAACAACAGAATTAGAAATTGGCTTGTTTTTCTTCTTATCTTTAGGTATAACTTTTGCCTCAGAATCTGCTCTACCATCTCCTTTTGTCGATATTGAATCTTCAGATTTCCTTTTAGCAGCCCTTAATAAAAAATTCATATCTCCATGTTCTACACTGTCATCATGTGATTCAGAAGTCAACTTTCTTTTTTTATTCTTCTTCTCCTTGTGGGTCTTGGTGGATTCATTCATCAGTAGTTCACACAACATACCACTGGTAGGCTCTGTTGATGCTTCTGAGTTTTGACACGTTTGATCAAAACTATCAGAAAGCTTTTTGCTTTTCGTCTTCTCTTTCAGTTGTGCTATTGACTTCGTGGCCGGATTGTATTTCAATATCTTCTCGGAATTCATAGCAGATTTACTAAACTTATCAGCAGCTCCAGAATGATCTGCTACATCATTATTGTCATTTTCTTCATTTTTCTTTTTGTTTTTCTTCTTCTTATAAACTGTTCCCTCAGAAGCAACACTGTCACTCTCGCCCTCTTTTTTGGTAGTGCCACTAGCCTGCAGATCTGCAAGTAACATATTTTGGATAAGACCTAGCCTGCATACTCATCTGATCAATCATATACCACTTGAACTAGGAAGTACAGCATACCTCTATCATGGTGGATATTCAAATGTGTATCAGCATGATTACTGCATACCACAAATGCTCAAGTAGCATGAGAATGAAAAGTCTAATACAAAGTATTTATCAACAAAAACAAATTTATGGTAAATCAACAACAAAGTAAGCAATAAATAGATGTTCTATGAAATTGATGAAAGTTGTCCATCCAACAAATCACATCCACAATCTTCACCTATATTTTCCAATGAAATTGGAGCTATAAGTGAAGCATACTCCAACTCAGATATACCAGTAAGTTTCTTACGAACACAAAAATGATTTGACAGAAACTACATTATACACAGACAACGTGGCAAAGTAGACGTAATTGTCAACTATATTATCGGGAATTAAAGATGTTACAATGTAACAAGCACAACGAGAAAACCCTATAAATATATAATTTGAAGAACATAAATGGCAAAGAAGAACTCTTGCAGCCAAGTCCAAATAGATCAATGGAATAAGGAATCAATAATCTCATCAAACAAATTATGAGCAGCAACAATCCAAATATAAGTACCTAATAACACCAGACACTGAAACATCTTAATCTATAACCCGTAATTACAAGTGGTTACAATGTTTACAACCACATGTCAACAGTTTTTTTGCTCAGATGAAAAGAACAATGACATAACTCTTGAAGTCAAATTAATCGCGAATAACTGGGTTATGGTTCTTGGACTAAGATTTCTAACTCCTCCATCTATCTGAGAGGTGTTTTTTTTTTTTTGGAACAATTATGTAAGAGGTTTAAAACCCATATATTAGTAGATAATTGTACAGATAGGTTATTTTTCAGCCTCAAGGATGAATTACTCAGGTTACCATGTCTCCAAATATTTGCAGTACATGTCCTCCAAATCCAGTGATCTACCCTGCCAATTGCCATCCTGCACCAAAAGCAAGATCAAGATAATTCATAATATAAAGCCTATCTGAAAGCGGAGGTTTTCATAGCAGATGATAAAGTTAGACTCAAAAGAGTGGCCGAAGACCACAAATTAGGCTTATTAATAATGGACGATTACATTGACTATATCGAAACACATATCCAACACACACACACAACTAATGAATACATGCATAGGAGCCTCTTCTGGTGGTGTTGCCCATTCCTCATTTGCATATCATTCACAAAATAATCACTAGAACAACCAAACCCAACAAATATAACTTAAAGAAAAGTATATCTCCTATCAACATTGTTCATTTTATGAAAATTTGACAATATAGCTAATTTAAGTATGTAAGAACTAAAATCAACCACATTTTATATGTTACATATAGCTATGAAGTAGAAGGTACATGTTGTATACACATCTCAGCCTCTCCATAAGCGTAAGTGTGAATAATGCACGCAATGTTTTTCTACTCTCGCCTAAGACCTTTCCAGAGTTCCCTATAAAAAGTATTATACTCTTATTATGTATGGAATTTGTGAAAACTTGACCATATTAACTATTTTTGGTTATTTCAAAACTTTCAACCGCATTGCATATGTCTCTTAGAACTATGAAGTAACGAGCTGTGTTATATACACATTTGAATCTATGTTTGCGAATGCAAACATGTGGTGGACGCAGAGATTGGTTCTTGTTCTTCTCTCCTAAGACCTTTTTTCATCCAACAACCTCGGGCTAGGGAAGGAGAAATGTGGCTCTTTTAGTCATCTATACCAATGTTTTAAAAAGCGAACCTAGGCACAAAGCAAGGTGAGGTGCCCTTGTTGTATCTCAATGGGACTAGCCCAAGGTGCACGAGGCATGCACTTTGTTCTCAAATTGATAAGTGAGTTGCAACTTTCACAAAATAAGATGAGACAATTTTGACAATCGCTGAACAAGAAGACTTGTGAAAATCCCAGAACAAGAAGACCTATGAAAATAGCAGAACAAGAAGACAATCAATGCTGAACTTCGCCAAGCAAGAGAACCATTGCATTGGAGAGTCACAACTAAGGGCTAAGGGTTTCTATCTGCAAAACTAGAAGACTTCATAGAACTTGTAGATCATACAAACATCGAAGTGGAGGAAGATTGCAAAAGAAGAACGCAGCTGAGAAAAGGTCTGTGCAATGAAGAGGACGATTGGTTTGTAAAATGAGTCTATGCAATAGGAAGGGTCTCTGCATTTTTTTTTTTGGGGGAAAAGGGGGGGTGGGGGGGGGATTGTAAGAAGAAAAGACTTAATTTTTTTAAGCCATTGTCTAGAGTTTTAAAATATAAATTTCCCTTCAAAGCCATTGTCTAGGGTTTTTTTAAGCCATTTGCCCGTGTAGGATGTATCGTGCGAGACAAAGTGTATCACCAGTATCCTTTCGTATCTCGTGCGATACAGTGTATAAACAATACACTAGAGCAATATGTATCATTTTCTTTGTGTACCGTAACATATCGTACAATACTAATAACCATAATTAGAAAATGTGAAGTCACAAATACAAGGACGCTACATGCAAACTATAATCTCATAGATGGAACACAACAAGTAGGGCAATTAAACCAACCAAGAAGCCCGAACTTGGCTCAGGCTTTGTTCACCTTGTGCTTGATCAAATTTGTTCATGTTCTCATATGAAAAGTTGTCTGATGAAGAAATTAAGCTCCTTTTATCATGGCCAAACCTGAGCCGCTCTACCTATATTTCTCTCTAATCTCTCACTTTCATGCTCACATTCACTCTATGCATTGCTTGCTTGAATCTGGTTTGTTACCCTTGTTTCCTATATTCTCTATATCTTCGAATTTGTCTAATTTTTATTATCTTATTTAAAGCTAATGTGTGGGTTGTAGATCAATATAAGAAATTTAGGGCTCATATAGTTCCTTTGTTTTTTTTTCCCCTTAATTGCAGAATGTATAGTACTTATGATTCAAGATTCCCTGTGGTGTCAATTTGGGGTCAATTTCCTATGGATTTTTTGTTGGTTTATTTTTTTTTTCGAGCCCGGGCTCGAATCCAAGCGCATAGATAAAAAAAAGACCCAAGGCAAGCCTTAGCCAAGAAAAAGCTTGGTGATCATGCTCGAGCCAACATAATGTAAACTCAAGCCGAGCATGAGCATACTCAGATCGGCTCAATTAAGACCCCTAACAAAAAATGTTGGGCCCCAATTAGTGGCTTCAAGCCTATTCAGAATTTAGACCCCTTTCAAACATGAACGAAAACTTTTTTTCCTTGTAAGAACGCTTATAATGGGTATGAACAAAATCAAAACCATTTATCACTGTCATCCACTATTTATATCTTCATTTCCTCTGCCTCATTTTTCCCTTCACAAATGCTTTTCTGGCAGAAAATTCAAAAGGGTAAAGCCTTTTCTTCATCTGCAGCCTTAAGTGTGTATCCCTGTTCAGAAAGTGTAAATCCCCGATTGCCTAACTGGTTCCTTGAAAGTTGAAGGATTCCCACCCTTAAAACAAAGAAACCTACATAGGACTGGGGATCGAAAAAAAGGGTGAATTTACAGCTTCAATGACACGCAGTTTTTTGGGAAAAAGGAAATGCACTGTGGCTACAGATGAAGCAAAAGACGGCTGTGAATTTGGTGTTGCCCTTTCAAAATATTACATTCAACTCATACAATACATAAATTGAACACATTATACAGTTGCGCCATTCAATTTTCCACATTAATTTGCTAATGCAGCCAGTCCAACTTCTCACAAAATTAATCAAATGCATCAATATGTTCATTAAATCAAATTTACAAAAATTGTTTCAGCACAACTTTTTTAAAATAAGCGAGACAATGCGTGTGTGTGCGCCTGGTGGCGTGTAAGTACACACATTTACAAATACATGGAGATATAAATACTTAGATATATGTGTGTGCTGCAGCGCAAGTATGTATATATATGTGTGTGTATATATATACATAGAGAGAGAGACAGACACACAGACCTCGATTTGAGCTTCGGAGAGAAACCGCTTGCGCGTTTTGGAAAACCCGTTGCGGTCGAGGTAATTAAGGATACAGTTTATAAGACTAACTTTCTGGTTAGGCTTAAGTGTTAGAGTTTTGTTGCTGTACTTATTCTCCATTGCGGCCTTTCTCTCTGTGTTTTGCTCAGCGAGTAGTACTTGGCGAGGCTTCAACGCAATTAGAGCTGAGGTAGGGTTTGCGCTTCCACTGTTTGTGTTCTGAAGCATGTAGGAGCGAGCGAAAGAGGGAGATTATTTGTCCGCCTCGAGTTAACTGAGCCCAGGTTCCTCTCCGAGAAGGGTCAAAAACTAGGGTGTTGAAACATAAAAAATAGTAGGTGCAAATTACCGAAAAAAAACTTCAAAGATAGTCCCTCAAAAATATCGATAGTCCATATTTAGCAGGCTAGTTTAACTTTAAGGAAAAACTAATCTCAGGTATCCTAAGATTTATATGAACCCCGTGGTATAAAAATTTACACTAGCATTCCTTGCCAATAACATTTGTGAAACGAAAGTAACATAAATTTTGAAAAAATTAAACTATACTTGATTATGGGTTTGGAGGATTGGTAGAGAGACAATGATACCGTGGAAAATTAATTCTATCTTGAGTCTAGTTAAGATTGATGAAATGTATCAAGATTTAGAGTATCGATGAAAAAGGCTTGAGAGAGTTTATTACCAGTTATTGAAAAAATTTTATTGAAAATGGGCACAAACATAGGGCTAAAAGTAGGCCTCGACAACGGGCCGGGCTAGCATTTTTCATCCCATAGCCTGCTTGTGGGTTGGACCTCTAGGCTTTGACTAGTCAATGAGTCAGGGTAAGTCCACCAATAGGAAACATTTAGGGGCCATGGCCAGCTTGTGGGCCAACCCTATTGATAATGAACTCATATGGACCATATTTTGTGTAAATTTTGATGTTATATGAGTTTAGTTGAGCTCGGAATGAGATTGGATGAGTTAAAATTGAAAATGAAAATAATTGGGGGAAAATTGGGCAAAGGTAACGGTAACAAGGTGATTAGGTACCGGTACCACGCTATTGGATGGGCCAGGTACCGGTACCTCGATATACGGGTACCAGTACTTAGACTTTAGTGAACTCAGGTATCAGTTACCAATGCTTCAGGTACCAGTACCTTGATGGACAATGGGCTTAGGTGCTAGTACCACCAAATATAGGTACTGGTACCTAACAAACAGTGGGCTCAGGTCCGGTATCCCGTCACCTAGGTACCGATACTTAGCAACTAGAAGGAACCTAGGAAACAAGAGGTCCAGGTACTGGTATCCAGCAAACAGAAGGCTCAGGTACCGGTACCTCTTTCAAAAGTTTGAAAAAAAAAATTAAAAGATAACCTTGCCAAGCCTTCAGGTCTTGAGTCTTTATGTTTAAAGAATGAAATTGGTGAAATCTTAAGGACAAATGGATTGATATTAGAACTGGGTATGGTTGTGTGATAACATGGTGTCGAGTTATGCGGCATACATAGGTAATTCTACGAGTTGATGGGTGATCAACGACTTGAGAAAGAACTCCCGAATTTTGGGGCACCATAGCTTGGTATCAGAGCCTAGGTTCTTGATTTACCTAAGGCTTGCTGGGCATGGGTCTATGCCATTGCAACCATTATGCATCACATGTTATGTGTATTAATTGTTACATGTTATGTGCTATGTGAAATATATGCACGATTAAATGTGTATGAAAATGAGACACTAGGGTTAGAAAACATAATCTTGGGGGTCAAAAAAAAAAAGGAACGAGAAGGTTTATGGTTAAGGTGTTTACTAATGGGTGGCAAACATCCTGCTAGTGAGATAAGGAGGAAAAAGTCTAAATGTATTGACTTTTATCCCTAACTTCGGGATGCTAATTTAGTGCTCCATTGCTATCTTACGTGTGTGTAGATGGCAAATAGAGGAAAAGGACACTATAATGGTCTAGGGGGTGGGCGGAACAACAATCAACCGCCGTTGGTCTTTAATCAACAAGCCTTCATGGAGGCTATAGGCACAATGGTGGCCACCTTTGCACAAGTTAGCACCAATGTGGGCCAAGGAGGCTCAAATAACCTATAAAAGTTTAAGGCATACAAGCCCTCTACTTCCATGGGAGGGACGAATCCAATGGTGACCGACCATTGGTTCCAACAAGTGGACAATATCTTAGAGGCTATGGAGATCACATCCAAAGGTTAGATGCATTCCAGCTTAAGGAAGAGGCCCATCTATGATGGGAATGGTCAAAGGCCTCAAAGAACATAGAGACAATGACATGGGGAGAGTTATGGGAGATCTTCATGGGGAAGTACTTCCTGTCGGCTATTCAGCAAGTGAAAGCCCGAGAATTCTTGGACTTGAAGCAAGGAAACATGAGGGTGATAAAATACGTGGCTAAGTTCACTGAGTTAACCCATTTTTCCAATGATTATATGGCCACAAACAAGGCCAAAGTGAGGAGGTTCAAGGACGACTTGAAGTTGTCCATACGAGGAAAGATTATGAGCCACTACCTATAAGACTTGGACTCAATGGTCAAGATGACCATGGGCATTGAGAGGGAAGTGGAAGATGTAAGGGGCATCCGGGAGGTGGGTGCTAAGGACAAGAAGAAGGAGGGTCAATCCTCTTCTTTTGGTTCGAGGAAGAAGCAAAAGACATCTACCCCTTAAGGGTATCAAGGATAAGGTCACAGCTATCAAGGCCAGGGCCAAGGTCAATCCTCCCAAGGTGGGAGAAATTTCAGGGCCACCCATCAGCTGGCCAGAGGACTAGTTTTATATGCCACCATCTGGGTCACATGAAGCGGGATTGTCCTCAGTGGTAGGGATTCCAGAGCTATCGGGCGTCTCAGTCTCAATCATTAGTGTGCATCCCCAGACTTTCTTCATTTGTCCCAATTCCACCTTGGGCTAGGGAAGTTTGTTCCATTTTCAAGGCGTTACACAACCCTCTACTACTACATGGGTGGCGACTCCGTAATTAGGCCAGATGGGCTAGGGCATGGATCGCGGCTGAGTATAGGACTTATAGGCCAAGACTTCGAGGACCCAGGGGTAAGTCTATGTCATCACACCTCAAACAGATCCGGTGGATCATTTGATGATTCAGGGTACATTTTTACTCTCTCGCTTATAGGCAAGGGTTTTATTTTATTCTGGTGCATTACATTCATTTATAGCTACATCATATGTAAAGGACTTGGACTTAGAGGTGGAGACCTTGGAAGAGACATTGCATGTGAGTTCTCCCCTAGGAGCTAGGGTTTGTATTGATTAGATATGTTGGGGGTGTGAGCTAGACATCTCTGAGATTCTACTCACTGTGGACCTTAGGGTCATGGACATGTCGGAGATTGATGTCATCCTTAAGATGGATTGGTTGGCGGCACATTGAGTAATCATTGATTATAATCGAAAGAAGGTCATTGTATATACATTAGAGGGTGTTTGTTTCAAGTTTCAAGGAGAAATGCACAATGCGGTATATGATTCCCGTTGGCAAAGGTAGTTGATGGGTTGGCTAGCAAGTCTTACTATCAAGGAAGAGGCGAGACAGGAGTTGGGTCTACCTCGGGTAGTTTGTGAGTATGCGAATATTTTTTTGAACGAGTTACTGGAATTATCTCTACATCGGAACGTAGAATTCACCATTGACTTGTAACTCGGTACGTCTCCCATTTCTATGACACCGCATAGGATGACACATACGGAGTTGCAAGAACTCAAAGTCCAATTGCAAGAATTGTTGAACAAGGGTTTTCTTAGACCGAGTACCTCAGCTTGGGGTGCTTCGGTATAGTTTGCCAAGAAGAAGGACAAGACCTTTCGACTATGTATAGACTATCGACAATTGAATTGGGTCACCGTCAAGAATAGGTATCCATTACTGCGGATTGATGACTTATTTGATCAATTGTGAGGAACACGGGTCTACTCCAAGATAGATCTGCGCATGAGATACCATCAGTTGAGGGTTAGGAAGGTAGATATCCCTAAGATGTCGTTTAGAATATGATATGGGCATTTCGACAAAACCTACTGGTAAAAGTTCCAAAACTTACTAGTAGGAAAAGTGCACTAGAATTCTTCTACTACAGCCCCTACCACAAACCTACCGGTAGGTTTTTGTCGTTCTACCAGTAGGTTTTGCCCATAAATGCCAGAAGCCTACAAAAATGACTCCACCTACTTCGGGGGTCCACCTTTTGTCATCCCAACCATACCCTGACATCTTTGACACACCATGATGGCCTTTTACACCCTAAAGTCTGATTTTGGAAGAGAAAAGCATGGAAGAGGTATGAGAGAGAAGAGGGGTGGTTGGTGAGGCATGTGAGGTGCATGCATGATTTTTCATTGCTTGTTAAAGTGTCCAATATCTTCCCACTCATTGAAACTCAGTTCCCATAGACCATGGAAGGGGTATGGACAAATTTGGACCAAGCTATTCACCATTATTTAGTTTACACAAGCTTTTGGAGAGAGAAGGTCCAAGGAAGAAGATGAAGTTCTAAAGAGAGAAAGTTAAGTTTTTGCAATTCCTTCAGCATTTTCATTGTAGTAAGCTTTATTCTACTTGTAATCTTCACATCTTAGACTTTAATCTTATTTATTTCAAGATGTAACCAAGTCTAGCTTAATGTTCATTTATTTCCATTTCTACATTTGGGTTTTCTTTCCAAGCTTTGTATTTTGGGTGTGAAATGAATTTACTTTTGTAGTTTAACCTCTTTTTGCATCAATGCAAGTCTAAAGCCTCATTTCACTACCATGTCTCTTTATATTGTGATTGTTCTTGCTTTGATCATGAGTAGCTAGACTTTTAGTTGGCTAATCCAAGGGCAATTTTCTCCATTCTTCTTGGTAGTGTAAAGTATTTTGTTTGACTAGGGTTGAGTGTGAACGTGGTTGTGAGCTCTTGATACACCGTAGACTTGTCACGGAGTATGCTTGGGCCAACACCTCCACATTAGTCCCTCAATTCCTATGAATCATCAAACAACGAGACACCATTGATTGAATAAATTGAGTTGATTTGGCATTCTCATTAGAATGACCCCTTTAGATTAGCCAACTTTGCTTTCTTTCATTCATATCAAAACACAATTCACAAGATTTTACACTTTTCATTTCTTTTCAAATCATTCTTCAAACAATTTGACCTTCCTTCCTTGAGGAGACAACCTTGGAATACTCATTCCAAGTAAAACATGA